CATACATACATAAATACATAATAAAAATAACAACAACAATAATAATAACAGCAATAATATTAATTAATGCTGCAATCGACTGCCCCTCTAAGGCACCAAGCACGTGGCTCCTCTGGGACTTGAACCCAGGACCTTCTGCATGTAAGGCAAATCTGTAAACAGGCGTGATAACTGCTACACTATGTAAATACATATATACATAAATACATGTTTACATGTTTACATGTGTCCCTTTATCCACCAGTCCATCTCTCTGTCACTTGTCCATCTATTTCATACATCCAACCATCTACTCGTCCAATTATCTGTCATCCATCTGTCCCTTTCATCGTCTATACCTGCATCCATCCGTTAATCTTCATCCATCTCTAACCCCCCCCCAGAGTGAAGACAGGACAGACCCTCACACTCACATTCATACATATGATCTATTTAGTGTCTGTACTCAACCTAATCTCATTTGTCATGTTTTTGGGTTGGACTGTGGAAGGAAACAACAGAGTTCACAGAGAAACCCGTGCACCGACACAGAAGGAGGTCAGGATTTAAACCAGCGATCTTCCTGCTGTAAGGCAGGAGTTCGTTAAAGAGAAAACCACTGTGTGTTTCTGTTAATTGGTTCAAAACCTGTGGTCAGGCCCCCACAAGTGGGTCAGAAGATACAAATGAGGTTTTCTGTATGAATAATGTGGGTGAATATTCAAATTTCTGTTTGATTATGCTTGAACTCCCACTCACCGTCTATAAAAACATAGCTGTACTCCGATATCTGAGAATCCAGAATAAATGAGAGCCAACACAGGACACACTGGAACAATAATCCTGACGCATGATCAGTGTAAGCGTTGGTGATAATGTCTTTTTATTATTTCTCTGTTGGAAGCTTAAATACTCTGCAGTGATTGATAACAGCGGCCCGCTGTAGAACCACGAGCGGGGGGTGGGGTGGGGTTGGGGGGGGGGTTTGACAGGCCCATATATTAAGAGCAGAGGGGTTTTTCAGTCCGTGTTATCATTATTACAGGTGCAAGCCTCAGTCTTATTGATCGTGTTTAAGAGCAGAGAGGTTTTTCAGTCCGTGTTATCATTATTACAGGTGCAAGCCTCAGTCTTATTGATCGTGTATGATCAATCATTCTAATTCATATTTGTGCTCCGAGGGCAGTTTCACTGAAACGATCTAACACATTATTCGCTCTGCTTCTGTCTGAACCTGTCAGCCGAGGCTCGGTGGCTCTGTGCATAAGTAGGTCAGCTTTTGACCAAGAGGTCACGTTCCACTTCTGAGCAGTGGACCTGTCACGTGCATATCATGCACCCTGATAACAGACAAGTCACTTGTTATGACTTGTTACCCTCCCACGGGGTATCTGAGCCACCTGACCGGAGGAGGAGAATGTGGTGAAGCTTGATGTCAGTGGATGTAACAGTGGGTAGTAGCCGCACACCATTGTTCTGCAATTATAGTGCATTTAATGGGGGCTATTATGAGGCTTGTAGAGGGGAGGAAATGAACCCACTCCAGTTTCGGGGATCTGTTTGTGGCTATAAGTGCCCAGTTATTCAGTTTTTCTTTTCCACTCACAGCATCATTACATCCTACTTCAGGCTCCGTCCTGACAAGTAGAGATGATAATGATGCTGATGAAGACAAATATGATAAACCCTACTACAGTTCCTGACAGCTGAGGAGGTGTGAGAAATAACAGGGCTTGTTTGCATTGCTGTTATGCGGCTCTTACTCTGTAGTTATCACAATCTGCTGTTTGACTTAAACACCGAAGAGGGAGTGAAAAGTATCGCAGCCACGTAGGGAATAAAGACGACGCAGCACTGTCAGACGAGACTTACTGTTTGTTTCTTTTATCAAATCAAGGCTGCCGTTAGAGGTTGCATTTAGAAAAGTCTGGAAGCCGCGGCCAAGGCGCAGCAACTGTATTTAAGATGTTCGGAAACGTATAATATTTCTCGTGGTGCCATAATTATACACGCTGCTATTTTAATACAAATATTCAGATGCGGTGTGGGGTGTGACAGTGAATGAAGGTGTGGAAGCAGAGAAAGTTGGGGTGAAGGTGTAATTAAAGCTGATTATGGCGAGGCAGAGGGGAGGGCAGCACATTTGTCTTCCCCACCTAATGAGCACAGGCCCTGGAAAAGAAAATGAGCTGCTGTGCTGTCTTTGCTCCCACGCCATGCCACTTTGTCACGAGTGCACTCCTCCTAGACGATGAGGCAGGGTCAAGTGTGTGTGTGTATCTCATGGCATTATTCTTTAAGGCCACAGGGGTCCTTGTAGCCGCGGGCACTGGGAATTGAGGCACTTAAGAATGCCCCACGCCACACCACTTAGCCACTGTGTCATTAAACTGGGCTAAAAATACAAAGTTGGTCCGTTGGTTCTCAGAGGACTTCTTCACGGAGTCAAACAATCGTCCGCTGCTGTTTATTGGTGACATGACAACAATGTTGTGAACATAGTGCTACAGCATGGCCCCTCTCTGTCACCTTATAATTATATCATCATTGTTGATACCAGCGCTGGCACACAGTCAGACAGTGTAGTGCTCACACTGTGATTCTTAGCCACTTTATGATGTTAATGGAGCCAGTGATCAGTCCATGTGGGTGTGATGTGAAGTGACAGCTGTTACCAAGCTGCACTCACAGCTGATGACAAAACCAATTATGTGTGATGTTGTATTTTTGAATTAAAATATTAAATTATTAGGTCTGTCTTATTGTGACAGTGCTGTCTGTTCTATATCACACTAACAGGAGATTGACATTCAGTAAAGGACTCTGCTCCTGATGCTGGACTGTTTTTTTTCCCTTCTTCTTCTTCTTCTTCTTCTTCCATGACTAGGTGTTAATTTTTCCCTGGCACATTAGGCAATTTATGGATTTTTAAAAGCGGCCCTCTCATATAATAGTGTTTACCTCTCAACAGCGAGACAATAACAGCACAATAAAGCATAGAGTGTGAATTGGCAGCACATTTCTTTTTTCTCTCTGCTCCAGTGTGAAGTGTTCTCCAATCAATCTTTGTATCCTGCCAGAATAAACATGTCTGCCTTTGATTTCCTTTATTCTTCCACAGTGAGGCTGCAGTACAGAGTGACAGGTGCAGCCCACAGGTGTGAGTGATTGTCCCGATTGTGAGAGACTGGGAGGAGAGTAAAGAGGAGCTCGGAACAAACAAGCAGCAGACACAGGTTGGTGATATCTTTACACGTCAAACTGATATTTAGTGTTTTATTATT